ATATTTATTATTTGTATTTATGTACGCAAAAAGTTACTACAAGAAAGAACAGCAGATTTAACTCTATGTCAGTGCCGGATCAAGGGGGGCTAGGGGAGACTATAGCCCCGGGCCCCGCAAATTTAGGGGCCCCCAAAAATTTCAGAGAATCTTTTTTTTTTTTTCAAGTCATTTTCAGGCTCTGGCCCATAAAAAGGCCCCCAAAATCAAAAATAGCCCCGCGCCCCAAGAAGTCTTAATCCGCCACTGCTCTATGTAGAGTTTTTCAAAAAAAGTTTTTCTTTATGTAAAAAAAGAGTTTTAGTAAAGAGTTAAAATTACTTTTTTTACAAAAAAAAATTTTTTTTTAGTATTTTGTGTTGAAAGCGAGAAAACTACCTTATCTAGTACTTTTAGTTTTAATGTCATCTAAATTACCTTTATAAAATATCATTTTCATCTAGAAAATTGTTCTTAAATGCGTCAAAAGTGTTTTTTTCATTTAAATAACGCCCATAAAATGAAAAAACTTAATTATGAAAAATAGTCATTTCATACACCCTAATTCTTTTGACTAAAACAACAGAAAGCACTACACAATGAAATTCTCCAGGCCTCAAACAACTTATGATCTTATAATGAAAAATGCTTTACTAATAAGAAGGAATCAGTGAAATGTCAAAGATTCTAATCAAACTGAGGAACCCAAGGGGTTCTTGATGTACTAATGTATGATATATATCATCACCTAGTTTCTTATATATTTTAAAAAAATTATTAATAAAGTTCAACTTCATTGAATTTTATTTGTTTATATTCAAAATATCAAATTAAGTACATAAATGAAATAAAAATCACAAAAATATCTTGACAACCCATGACCACACCTATCTTTGCGATTATAACCTCTCCAGGAGACAAAATATGGTCAGATTTGATTTTGCTTATATCAATTACCTATATTTAGACATACAACATGTACCATCTAATTAAAAAAACATTTGGATATTTTAGGACCACCCTTATCCATCCCTAAAATGATCACCTGAGCGGTGATGACAACTCTTGAAGACCCAATATGCCCAGATTTAAATTCCCTGACAGCAGTTACCTATATTTAGATATACAGCATGTCCCATCTAATTTAAAAACCATCAAGAAAACTCATGACCACCCTTGACAACCCCTAAAACCATTTTAACCACTTGTGCAGTCATGCCCAATCCAAAATTAAAATAGAGCCAAAATGGAATCCTTGGCCTTAAAAACCTCTATAAACATTTACCATGTCTATATTTAACCCATAAATAATTTTGCCATTTTTAGACAATTCTGGCCCACTGTGCATACATGCATACATACATACATACATACATACATACATACATACATACATACATACATACATACATACATACATACATACATACATACATACATACATACAGCATTTATTGAACATACAATTAAACCATATGATGTAACAGATGCTATTTTACCAGTATTCATCAAGGGCTAGAAGTCTGGCGAAGCCCATAGCTACCATCAGCATGAAAAATAAGAGATTGAATGCGAGCTGTTAACTTGACTGGCCAACTCAAGGAATTGACGGTCAATTATTTTTTGGGGGGGTCAACATTTTAGTTTTTTTCTTTGTTTAAATCTTATTTATAGTTCTTTTTGACTAAACTTTATAAATACAAAACTAAATTAATGCTTGAAGGGTAAATAATTCATATTATTTTAATAATAACAATTTTAAATAAAATCAATATTTTTTTTAAGTGCAAACAAGCAATTGATAATTTTTAATTTATTTAAAAATTCATTTTATTGACTTTGCAAATGGTGGGAAAAGCTGAGCAAAAAATTAATAGAAAAGATTGAATGAAAAAAAAAGTACAGTTGAGATTATGTTCTTAATTACATACAATAATTTTGAATAATAATGAAATAAAGTTAAAGAAGAAAAACTTTTGCACATTTTAAATCTCTTGCTCAGTAAAATCATTTCAAAAGCCGCTAATCTTAATTAGTTAAAAATAGTGTTACTAACTCTTGTTTACAGATACTGAATTCATTATTGATTAATGATTTAAACTGAATATTTAATACTAAGAATACTAAGAAGATTGTTTTAAACATCTTCTTTATATTGAACTATTTGTTTAATGAAACAAATTTTAAAAATTAAATTTTAAAACAAACAATTTGTTTAATGAAACACTACTATAAAAATTATTAAATTTACATAAAACAAGATTTTAAACAAGTATATATATATATACATTTTTTTAATAATCCTATTATAAAAAAAAGCGCAAACGCACAATTAGTAATTTTTAATTTATCTATAAACCATTTATTCATTTATTTGCAACTTTCTGAAGAGCTTACGAGAAAATAAATAAAAAGATTTAGAGAAAAATAAAACAAATTGACAAAGTGCAGATGAAAGAAAAACTGTTTATAGTTAAAAACATAATTTATTATATATTATTATATTATTATTAAAATAATATATAAATTTTTTTTATTAAAATAGTAATAAATTAGCACAATCATTTAATGATTCAAGGATTTTCACCATCAGTAAAATAAAATTAATCGAAATAAGTGAAGCAAAAAACTTAATGAATGTAAATTATGTTGTTACATATACGTTACATACATTAGGTGAATACATTTGTCAACGAAAAAAATTTATGAGTTCAGGGTTGAAAAAAATTTATGAGTTCAGGGTTACAGCAGAAAAATTACTGGTTTCTATTAATATGCAATTACTAAATAACAGTTTTAACAACAATAAACATAATATACACTTGAATATATTATACATATACTTGAATATATTATACGTAGCAAAATTAATAATATAAAATTATTAATAAATTATTAACTTCTAAATACTGAATTATATTGATATAAATTAATAATAAGTTTTTAATTCTTAATTATTGAATTATAGTGATAAAAAAAATTTATTGGAAGGTTTTTGAAACAAAGATAAAACCGGGCAGTACTGAAAAATAAAAGGATTTTAAAAAAAAAATTTGCTTCAACTTCTTTTAAACTTTTCGCTTTTTCGACCTGCTAGCAATTAAAGAAGTGTATCATAAACAAGAAAACTAGTTTAAACTCTTTTTCAAAATTTAAATAATTTTATTTAAATTTAGTATATGCATTTTCTAAGTAACATCCTGATTATTTGTCAAACTTGCTTTTAAATGTCTGATTTTTTTTTCAACCGGTCAACCATGACCAGCATGAATTCATGTTAAGAGGTCAAAATAGCATTTCTAGTCATTTTAGCAGTCATTGACCATTGACTAGTCATTATTTTTCATGCTGGCTACCATCATTCCTAAAAATGTCATTTTTAATCCCAGTAATACCCTTAATTTCCCTTATTATATCTTTTTGACTAAAAAAATTCTGAATTCATTTTCCTATCTTATACCTACTTTGCTTTGGCATTTGTTAAGAGATGATTGATCTAAGTTAAAAGATAATTGCTCATCTACAGGTAAACATCTATTAGCAAATGTCAATTTGCTTTTATTTAAATACAAGGTGTTTTTGAAGTGATTTTTCCTAGGGATTTAGGTAAGTAGATTTCTCTCAGTTGGAGACAAAATTCAGAATATTGTATTATTTAACTAATAACATGATTTAGCAAAGGTTCTATTGCTTGGATCATGATTCTATTGCTTGGATCACGATTCTATTGCTTGGACCTTTGAAAAACTATGTAACATTAAAAAATAACATTAACACAGTCAGCGAAATTCAAAGGATTTCAGGTCAGACATGGTCATTGCGTCGGCATTGTCATTCGACAATGCCGACGCAAAAGCCGACCTATCTTTGCTTTAGGATGGCATACAACTGCCGACCTGAATATTCTAAAGTGTCGGCATGCAAATTGAAATACATGTAAAAAATATCTAATATTCGTTAAATATTATTTTTTTATTGTAATTACTTGCTTTTCAAGTTTGACATGTTTTATTAAAACAATAATTCATTAATTTTTTTTCTTAAATTTATTCAAGCATAGCAAAGTTAAAAAATATTACATTTTAAATGCCTGTTGTTCTCACGCTTTTTAAGTACAATTATTATTTTATTAAAATATAAAATCTAATTTTAATTTATTTTTTTACTTAAAACCATATAACTAATTATATAAATTATATGTTTACAGTTTTTTTAGAATTATTTAAAATCAGAAAGTATATTAGGAAAGTTTAGGCTTGTTATAGTTTTGTTAGATACATGCGGAGAAAAAACATTAGTTACAAAACTTTTTTTTAATTTGATAAAAGTTTAGACTTCCATTAAATCGCAACAGATACAACAGTAATACAGTAAGCTAACTCAAAACAATATTTATATATAAGAAAAAAAACTATTTTTAGTATTTTTAACTTTTGTTTTCCCTCCATCAATTTACATATAGTTACAAGTTCATACTATACTACAATAAAATATTGAAAATCACCACCCCTACTAGTAGAGAAATAAATGCTTTAGGTAGCCAGCATGGAAAATAATGACGCAATGAGCTGAATTTCGCTGACTGTTAACATTTAGAACAATAATATATATATATATATATATATATATATATATATATATATATATATATATATATATATATATATATATATATATATATATATATATATATATATATATATATATATATATATATATATATATATGTATATATATATATATATATATATATGTATATATATATATATATATATATATATATATATATATATATATATATATATATATATATATATATATATATATATATATATATATATATATATATATATATAGTTTTTAATTGATGGCACTGAAACTAACACTCAAAGTACAGTTTTGATGCACAGACCATTAAAATTTTATTGAGTGTAAAACCAAAGTATTAGCGTAATTAAACAACTTTGAAAAAACCAGAACAATTAACATATTTTTTTAAAACTAACTTACAATAATCTTACCATCAAAATCCCAGTCAAGGCTCATTGAACTCCCAAAGTCCTTCATTTTATTTATCTTTGATATTTTCCTATTTTCATAACTATCTTTGCGTCGTGCAGAGTTGTATTGTTCTAAAACCAAATAATATTTAATGCATTGTAAAATGTAAAAAAAAAAATTTTGTTTTGTTACCTTATATAAAACTTTTTTATTAATTGGTGGTTTTTAAAATAAAAATTTTGCTTTTTAACATATCTATTTTAACATATCTTTTTTAATGTATCTCTTTTAACATATCTCTTTTAATATCTATTTTTGGATTTAGGATTGAGATTAAAACTTTACTTCTTTTTTTTTATATATATATGCAAACTTCTTTTATACATATATGTGCAAACTTTTTATATATATATATATGCAAACTTCTTTTATACATATATGTGCAAACTTTTTTTATATATATATGCAAACTTCTTTTATATATATATATATGCAAACTTCTTTTATATATATATGTGCAAACTTCTTTTATATATATATATATATGCAAACTTCTTTTATATATATATGTGCAAACTTCTTTTATATATATATATATATGTGCAATTCAATATTTAAGATTAAATGTTAACAACCACTAATAGAAAAAGATTTTGAGTAATTCAATAAAACCTTTTCTACTCTCTATTCCTATTACTTCAAGTCTTGCAGAAAGAGATCCTCTTATTCTTAGTAGTTCAGGGGTTGATACATTCTCTTTCAACCAAATTTCTGTATTTTTGCTGCGTTGTGGTGTTGATATTTTTGTTGGAGATTGATACAACCTAAACAAGAAATATATTATAAGGGGCAAATCAACTCAATTTTACCAGCATAAAGTTTTGCAAAAAAAAAAAAAAAAACTTACTGCAACAAAAATAGCAAAATTGGCACATGTGTATTTTAGGCACTATATTTTAGTCAGTCTGTAATTAACTCTTACATCTTACATGAAACCAGTATTATTAAAAACCACATCCTAACCCTGAATCTAAGCATAAAAGTTATTTTATTAAAAACCATACCCTAACCCTTAAGGTCAGATTAATTAAACAAAATTTTGGTTAGAGTATGGCTTTGAATAATATTCATTTCGCATAAGACTAATTTTTTTTTGACTTACTAAAGGGGTTGCCTGAAATACCCTCAGCAAATTTCACTAAGACTTCTATAAATAACATTTATTTTAAATATAACTTGTATGAAACAGATTTTTATATGGGTATATGTGTAATACAAATACAGAAAATAGTATACTATCAACATCACTAAATAAATTTGTCACATCACATTTCATGATTCATGGTCACTTAATTTGCACCAAGTATTATTACATATACTTCTATTTGATTTGTCTATTATGGCACAGAGATAGGTAGTAGTAGTAGTAGTAATAATAAGATATAAAAACCTTTGCCTTTTTAGGCAAGGGCTAGGAGATGCAAACTCAGACATAAAACACCCCCTGTCTTGGGGCTCTTGGTTGAGTAAAGGCTAGAGATGGCCTTAACAAAGGGCTCCTAAGCCGTAACAAAGGGCTCCAATGTGGCCTCCAAGGCCACATTGGAGCCCTTTGTTACGGCTTAGGGTTTATTAGTGGAAATGAGGTAATTGGTTGGGCTATAAAATAGAGTACTGGGTACTGTCTATGTTTTGAGTCAAGTTCTTTAACAAATTTAAAAATGTATAAATTAACAAAAGCTATAAAACACAAAAACCACAGTCATCACCAAGTTCGCTAAACCTATCATTCACCAATATTCGTGGTCTTTAAAGTAACTTTTCTGTTGAGTCTTATCTCTTGCAAAGTTCACCAGACCTACTTGCTCTTTCTGAGACTAATTTGAGTTCAGCTGTCTCATCTTGTGATCTTAGTGTTGATGGTTATCTTCCTTTAATTCGTAAAGACTCCAATAGTCACATGCTTGGCCTGAGCATTTACATTCGTAAGAATTCACCAATTTGTCGGGAAACTAGGTTTGAATCCAGACTACTATTTTTTGTGCTTTCGTTTAGCACCACTTCACTCTATCACCTTTCTCTTTGTTCTATATCGCTCTCCCTCATCTCAAGACTGCACTCTTCTTGATGTTATTTCTGATTATATTGACCAAGCCCTCATTCTTTATCCATCAGCCAATATTGTTGTTGTCGGTGACTTTAATGTTCATCACACTGAATGGCTTGGCTCTAGTGTCAGTGACTCTGCAGGCATTAAGGCCCACAACTTTTGTCTTTCTCAATCCCTAACTCAAATAGTCAACTTTCCAACTCGCTTTCCAGACAACCCGAATTATTTACCTTCTCTACTCGACTTATGTCTTGTTTCTGATCCTAGTTAGTGCTCAGTTTTTTCACACTCACCCTTAGGTGCTTCTGATCATGGTTTGGTCTCTCTAAAACTATTATCTCATTCTTCTTTACCATCAGAATCCCCCTATCATCGTATATCTTACAACGACGTTAAAGCTGACTGGGACTCTTTCCGTGATTTTCTTCGTGATGGCCCCTGGGTAGAAATCTTTCGTCTTCCTGTTGACAAATGTGCTTCTTACATAACTTCATGAATTCAGGCTGGCAGGGAATCCTTTATTCCTTCTCGACAATTACAGGTCAAGCCTCACTATTCTCCATGGTTTTCCTCATATTGTGCTGCTGCAATTGCCAATCGAAACCATTACTTCCATATCTATCAGCAAAACAATTCTCCAGAAAACAGACGTCTGTTTATTACTGCTAGGAACCATTGTAAAAAGGTTTTGTCTAACGCCAAAGCCCGCTATTCTCAGATCATGAAATCTCGTATTTCATCACAAAAATTAGGCTCTTGTGACTTCTGGAGAATCTTTAATAGTATCAATAATAAGGGCAAGTCTGTAATTCCATCTCTTTTGTATAATTCAGACTTTGTCACCTCACCTAAAGACAAAGCTGAATTGTTTGCCGAGAACTTTTCATCAATATCATCTCTTGATGCCACTAGTTGCGTTCTACCTGATATAGCCGTCAAACAGGTTGATTCATTGCTCGACATTCGTATCACTCCAGCTTCTGTATCTAAAGTGATTTCCCGCTTAGACTCTTCTATAGCTTGCGGCCCGGACAACATACCTGTTATAGTCTTGCAGAAGTGTTCTCCGGAGCTGTTGTCTATCCTTTCAAAACTATTTAACAAGTGCTTATCAGAGTCTTGTTTTCCAGCCTGTTGGAAAGCAGCATCTGTTATCCCTATTTTTAAAAATTCTGGAGAGCGATCCGATTCGTCTAACTACCGTCTCATTAGTCCTATCATAAGCAAGGTTTTTGAATTTTTAATTAACACACACTTAATCTCTCATCTCGAATCTCATAACCTACTTTCTGATCATCAATATGGATTTCGATCTTCTCGTTTTACGGCTGATTTGCTATCAGTAATAACCGATAGGTTTTATCGCGCATTAGATAAAGGTGGAGAGGTTAAGGCCATTGCTCTTGACATTTCTAAAGCGTTTGATAAAGTTAGGCATACTGGTCTTCTCCATATGCTTTCTTCTTACGGTGTATCTGGAAACATCTTTAAGATTATTGAATCCTTTCTTTCCAATCATAGTATAAAAGTTGTCCTTGATGGACAGCACTCTTCTTCTTATTCTGTAACCTCAGGGGTTCCTTAAGGTTCAATCCTTGGCCCTATACTCTTTTTAATTTACATTAACGATCTTCCAGATATTCTCACATCTAACGTGGCATTGTTCGCTGATGATACTACCATTTATTCTTGTCACGATAAGAAGCCAACTCTCTCTGATTGCTTTAAGGGGCATCTAAGCTTGAAAAGGACCTCACTTCTGCTACAGCATGGGGCTCACAGTGGCTGGTGAACTTTAATTCAGATAAAACTCAATTTTTTTCAGCCAATCGTTATCGCAATAATTTAGACCTTCCTATATTTATGAACGGTAATGTACACGATGAGTCTCCTACCCTTCATCTTCTAGGATTAACTCTTACTTCTGATCTTTCTTGGAAACCTTATATCAAATCCATTGCAAAATTAGCATCTGCTAAAGTCGCTTCTCTTTATCGAGCTTGTCACTTTCTTACTCTAGATTCTATTCTTTATCTCTATAAATCTCAAATCCGGCCTTGTATGGAATACTGTTGCCATATCTGGGGTGGATCTTCTAATGATGCCCTTTCTCTTTTAGACAAGGTGCAAAAACGCATTGTAAACATAGTTGGAACTGCTCTTGCAGCCAACCTTCAACCTCTGTTGCATCGTCGTAATGTTGCTTCTCTTTCTCTTTTCTACAAATACTATAATGGCAACTGCTCTAAAGAGCTATCGTCTCTTGTGCCATCTACTAAAATTCATTCTCCTGTTACTCGTCATTCAATTTAGTCTCATCCTTTTTCTGTTACTGTTCCTAAGTGCTCCAAAAACTCTTATTTGTCTAGTTTTTTTCCTCGAACATCAGTTCTTTGGAATTCGCTTCCTTTATCTTGCTTTTCTGATTCATATAATTTGCAATCTTTTAAGTCGTCTGTCAATCGTTATCTTGCTCTACAATCTTCATCTTTTCTCTTCCAGTAACTTCCAACACTAATTAGTGGTTGCTTGCAGCCTTGTTGGAAGCGAAGATGTTAAAAAAAAAAAAAAGACTGTTGTTAATTAGATTGTCAAGCAATGGTTTACACTTGCGTTACAATTTATACTCTAGTATATCTTTGTGTCATGTTTTAGTCATGACACACTTGCTGTTGTGTTATGCATTTGCCGTCATCTTATTAAAACTTTAGATATAACAACAAAATTATTAAGGTCGGGGCTTTTATAATGCATTTTATGTTTATGCATAAGCATTTTACTATATCTAATTAAATTAGATAATACTGTTTGTCCTAATTATGACATTAAACTGATCTTATAAGAAAAATGTTTTGGAACTGGTGAGGCTCTTTAGCTGTGGTGAAGGTAACTCACTAAGATAAAAAACTTTAAAATAGCCCAACTTTAGTGTGGTAAAAGTATGAGGAGCTCATTAAAACAGTTTAATGGCAGAAAGAGCATTCAGCTACAAAAAAATGCTCTAAAACCATATTATGTCAAATTTTAATACAAAAATATTACATCGCCGGTTGTGCAGGTTTACAAACACCCTGATGACATCCCCTGATGGTACACCTAATGGCTCGTTGTTGGCCTCAGATGAGTCATCAGTCAGGAATAAATAATTGACCAGTGGCAAATCTTTTACAGCAACTGAATTCGATTCTAACACCAATTAATCACCATATAAATTAGCTGATAAGTGTCATTGTGATAAAGGTGTGATTGAAGATTGGGTTGGTCAATGTGGGTTCTGTAAGGAAAAGTGTTAAGTTTGCTGAAATGGCAGGTAAGAGAAGACTAGACATATGCTGCTTGAAAGAAACTTGCTGGAGGAGTGATAGTGCTAAGAGTATTAGATTTGATAACTTTTGGTACAGGGGTGTTAGATGTTGGTATTTATTAGCTATTTAGTAGCGCAAAAATGTATAAACCACGTAGTTGAGATAAGAGAAATGAATGAGAGAGTATTGTATTAATATTTTCTCATTAGAGATATGCTATTGCAGGGTCAGTGCTTAAATAGTTTCAGAATACGCTTCAAAAAAGCAAAACAAGAAAAAAAAAGAAAAACTCTACATTATTCATGGTAGTACTTTCAAAAATATTGGAGAAAATAAGAGACTAATTGGGGAGACATAACTGGGCATGTTAGTGCAGCCACTGATGATTTTGAGTGAGTACATGGTGAAA